TGTCACTTTTGTCACACCGCTTCCAGCTCCGCAGGAGAGGAGTCGGAGAGAAACTCAGCGTTAGTTGAAGTAAACCTCCTCCCGAGCAGGTTAGGTTCACAGCGTAAGTTGCCGGGGTTACAGACCTACAGTTAATCTGATCTCGCTCTCTGAAACCGAAAACCCAGAGTTTCCTTCATCTCGGGGTCAATTTACTCAGAGTTTTCACTAAACCCGCTTTCTGAAACAGGGCCCTGCAGATTCAAAGCTTGTATTTGTTGTGCATTTGCTGAACAGTCAGTTGCACACACCAACCATCCTCCTTTCTCAAGCCTGCAGACGTTGCACCTCATAGTAAGCTCAGTCGGTACATTAATATTGGATTGGTTCTATTAGGTTAATAAAATAGAGGAAAACACAGTAAGGTTTGTGTGCTTATAACTTCAGTTTACCGATTGCTATTGTAACAGAAAACAGAAAAACCTCCCGCAATGAATAAGATGCGAACGGGGCACGAACCTGCGACCCATAGAAAAAATCTATTTGTAAGGCAGCGATTTTAGCATTGAGCGTATTGAATCACTTTATCAGCTAAGGTAGGGAAGCTCATCCTTGTGTTGGGTTGGATTAATGTGGTCTGTTCTTGTTATTTACTGATTGGGTGATAACAGTTCAAACTGATTGGCTTTGGAAAAGACAGGGTGGAGCTCATTATCATCTAACACTACGCGTCTTGTAACGCGTTATGATGCGCGTCATTGGGGACACTGAGCCCCGTAAAAAGCGGCGTTACATGAGCACATAGAGCGACGTTTTTTTCGCCGCCTCCAGACCAACGAAAAATGCGTCGTTGTTTACATAATTCCACGGCGCTTTTTACGGCGTTTTGCTTTTTGGCAGCGTAAAAAGCGGCGTCCTGGACGTTCAAACGGCGCTTTTTACGCTGTTTTTTTTAACAAAACGAGGTAGGAAAGTGGCGTATTGAGAGCCTTTAAGCGTTCCATACTACGGTGTCTGACATAGCACACAAAGTGTCTCTTCTGATGGTGCTTTCAGACCAAAAGTGAAGCGAGCGTTAGAGGCGGTGAGTTTACATACAAAGTGAATGAAAAGACGCGTAGAGCCGCGATTTCCTGTCGGGCGGAGTGAAGGGAGCGGTGCCGTCAACGCGAAGGAATTCGCATGACGCTGAGTCGCGATAGCCTGTCAACGTTGAGATTGTCCGTTCGTCACCGACAGCTTCAGAGCGATGTGTGGAGAGGGCCAGGCAGAGCGGGCGACTGAAAATCTGCAGGCCGGCTGAGAGCTGCTAAACTTGGGCTAGAGGAGCAGAGAGCAGCGCTCCAGGTTTCGGACAAATAAACACCCGTGGTCGGACTGGGTTTTCCTCTGACAACTACGCCGTTTGCTCGAGGGAGGAGCTCGGAGTAAACTGCTTTTATTAAATTAGCTTTACTTTAGTTTTTATGATTATAACGTTGATTCATCTTCACTCGAGCGTCTCAGCAGTTAGCTTCAGTGCACATCCGGTTCCAGTGTTGTTAGTTCATATGTTTAACAAAACTGCATCATATTGTAGTTATTTCAGCATCAGTTTGATCTGTTTATTGCTATTTAATCACATCAAAATGTTACTTTGGGTTCATACAACTGTAGTAATGGCGAGTTGTTTTTATTCACGTTATCGCGTTAAATTCGCCTTCTCGCGTTGTGTGAACACAATGTACTCACGCGAGGAAAGCGTTGCGAGGTGAAAATTCGCGTTTGGTCTGAATGCGGTATGAGACAGCAGAGAGTGGCCAGTCAAGAAATGAGGTTTCAGTATATTTATAAAGAAATTATCCATCCATCCATCATCAACTGCTTATCCTGCGTACAGGGTCGCGGGGATTAAGAAATTATATTTACTTAATTATTCAGTAAAACCAGATGTTGTTGTGACTTGGCCACTGACAGACAACATGGAGAATGTGAGCCGAGAGTGTGAAACACTGTCACTGTTTCTGCACCACAGTCCATTATAAACCACACATTAGATAAAGTTTATACAAACACTGACAAGAGAAACACATTCATTCTCTCTGTGATTATGGACCCTCGCCAAAGCTGCCCGCCAGCAATAATATCTGGCAAAAAATTTAAATAAATAAATGCTTTGATAGCGGTGCTGAAATAGATCTCAGTCATGACAGCAACAGTTACTCACATAATCACTTCCTCTTTAGGGGTTTTGTCTACAAAATAAAAGCACAATAAGCTTTTTGGTGTTGAACTGAGCTTTTACTTTGAAAAATTCTGAACAACATTAAAAGAGTCTGTAGTCTGCTTGACGCACCTCTGAAAGAGCCTAAAGAACGTGATTCCCCTAAATGTTCTCTGTCTGGAGATACTGGGGAAATGAAAAAGCGTTCGTAGGTTGATGGATGTGGATCAAACACTGAAAAATAAACTGCAGCACGTGCCGCACCACTGCCAGTTTCCTCTGAAGCATGACAGTTACAAATAAACTATATTTATATTCACACTGAGCCTCAACTTCACACTTTGTATTTGTGACAGTGACGTGTTTCATCTTCTAAATAGAAGAAGAGGAAATTAAAGGTGTGAAGAGCTGTGGAGGTGTTAAACCCTGTTTATTTTGACTCTCAGAAGCGACTCAGTCAAGATGAGCGTTGTCCCACTTCCTCTTAGTTTGCTTTAATTACTTTCATACAGGAACATAAAAAATAACCTGAACAGAGATATAGATGTTAAAATGACTGCATATCAAACAATAACAGCTGATACAGAAATAACAGTAAAAACTAATACATGTTTAACTACAACACAGCACTAGCACATTAAAGTGCCTGACAGCAAGTTCATCAAGCTAAATGTCCCATATATTATCATAAAATAATTCAAATAATAAAACATTTATCAGTTCTCAGTGTAAATTACCTGTAATGATATGAGCTGTAACTACACTGTGGTCTCTTATTTGTTTGGTTTGTTGACGGTGGCGTAGAGGTCGCTGGGATCAGCTGAGGCTCCAGCAGAAGAAGAGGAAGCTTTCACGCTGCTGTAGGTCACTGCATCATCTTCATCATCACCATCTTTACCCAGAACCTGGAAAAGAGACAAACAGCACAACACAGAAATTACACAACATTAAATGAGAGAAGTGTTTTCATTCACTGCCATCATCACTAGAACCAATCAGACAGCTTACCCGGCCTTTACTGTTGGTCTTCCTGGTGTAGCTGATGGAGGCGTAGGAAACACCATCTTCAGGATCAGCCTACACAGAGAAGACAACATAATGGCTGCTCAGTAACATGTGGACTTGATTGTGCTCTGGTCTGTTCTGGTGTCGTCCAGCTGCATCATCAGACTCCCCACTTCTTCTCTTGCAGAAAGAACTTAGATTCAAGAGTCACTGTGTGTCTCATAGAGCTACATTTTGAACAACAAATCTAAAAACAGTGAGTGTAACTTTGTCCTGGGTGTAGTGTGAGATCTCACCGTGTCCTGACTGCTTTCTGGACTCACTGCAGGGTTTAAGCTCCGTCCCTGAAAACAACAAACAAACAGAGTCTACTTCCATGTGGTCAAACACTGGCTCTGTGAAGGCTGTTTAGATTTGGATGACTCTGTCAGAGAGCAGCTGATTCAGCTCTGTCATAACTGTAGAAACATTTGATTACTCAGCCGTAAAACTCACAGTGTTTTCATCCATCTGGGGTTTTTTTCCTGAAGAGACAAAAGAGAGTCGACTTTAGCTTCAACAATAAAAATCCAGGTTCATCAAAACTTCTTGTTTATAATATCTGTGGTTGCTCTCACCTTTAGTTTTCTTCCATCTGATGAGAGCAACAAAAATAACAACAGTTATTAAGAGAGCTGCAACTGCAACAAACACAATGATGAGCCACAACCAACCTGGAAAGAGAATAAAAAGACATTTTTATTTGTGATTTTATCATTTTATGTTGTGTGAACACGTCTGACTGAATAAGAGAATTTCTCCACCCATAACCGTGTTATGAGTGTTGCTCTCACGTTCATACTTTAGACGTCAAAAGAGAAGAGAGATACAATCAATAATCAATATTTCAATATATCACATCCTATTTACTGTTTTATACAATGAATGGTTTTGTCTTTCCAGAAAGTGACTTAATTAAAGATGCTTTGATAATTTTATGTTTTGCAATAAAAATGCCAGAAAGTAGAAACATGTAAAACAAAAAATTAGACAAAGAATATAATAAAAGTAAAATAAAGAAATCCAGTATGTGGAGAGAAAGAGGCTGACAGGAAGACAGAGAGACTCCAGAGAAAGATGAGTTACTACCTTGTGGTTTTGTTGAAGGATCATTGGTTGTTGTTGTAGCTGTAAAACCTGGAAAGAGAATAAAAAAGGTGTGAAGACGTCTGACTGAATAAGAGAATATTTCCATCAACAGCTAAGCGTCGATCTGACATTCGTTGTTTAGAATTTAGAAGAAGACAGAGAGAGAAATAGCTTATTCTATAAACTGCTTGAAAGAGGTGTTGACATCATAAAACCAATGTATACTAAAAAATAATGCATGGAAAGAAGTTTTATATATATATATATATAGAAAAATTTGCAAAGGTCTGGAAGTAAAACATTCAAACTTCAGTGTTATTTGGCCTTAAACAGAAGCTACACACCCAACAAACATACCCAACAAAAAACAGAGAACCACGTACAGACTCAGTGATCAGAACCTGGCCATCGAGACGGGCCGCTAGAGACAAACCTGGCTTCATAGAGAGGAAAGGATCTGCAACACGTGAAAAACGTAAAGAGAAAACTACTTTCCCAAATCAATAAATCAATAATCATTTTCTTGATCACTTCCTGTCAGAGCCGGCCCAGCCACTAAGCGACCTTTGCGGTGGCGAAGGGCCCCGTGGGCAGCAGAGGGCCCCGTGGGCAGCAGAGGGCCCCTACAGTCACTGCTTGTTAGTGGTAAACTAACATGAAAGACAGATCTCTATAATTTGCACCACAATAAGCACATTGGTTATTTAATGTAGTTATATACTATGGAAAATCAGCTGTGACCTGAGACTCCTGACCCTGACTGACCCTGAGACGTCACCAACATCACTCGTTACGCTGAGTCCGTCAGGCTCGATGTCTGACAAGAGAAGATCATATTTTTCTGGACGTGTAAAAAGACATCAGAAGAGCCTCTAAGAAGAGAGGAGGCAAGAAGATAAAGGTGCGTAAGCCCACAGGCTCCGTTTCCTATGCCTGTATTTTTAGATAATCTGCACTGAAGGTCTTAGATTAGCCTCAGTTAGCCGCGCTGGTATCAACGGTGCTAACGCTGTAGCTTGCTAACATGCTAACCAGGATTAGCAAGAAGCTGACAGTGCTGGTAAGTTTAGGCCTACATCAACAATAACTAAACAATTATTCACCTCTAGCAACACTCAGTGTTTGAACATGTCAACTTACTGAAATGACTTATTTTATGTGTTAATCTTCCTCATAGGTCTACCTGTGGCTACTGAAGTGGAGAGCAGTACCATCGTGGTACCAGCACACCTGTCTCTCCAGTTTCTGCTGCTCCAGTGGATCCAGCTGACTGGACATCAGGACTTAACGACCAGTTACACGTTGATGTGGTGAGCGGTAAAACCAGCACAGGTTGACAGAGACATTTAGACTTTTCCAAAAAGACACTCAGACAGTAAAAGTCTTTTCTATCATTACATGTTTAGATCACTCATAAAGAAGCAGGTTGAGAAAATGATGCTGTCAGCTGTTTCCTAGTTTTTGTCTCTTAAACTCTTGTTTGGCTGTTATTAAAGATTTAAGCTTTGGTCATAATCACTTTATGAGTCTTTTTATTCAGCACTAAGTTCATCAGTGTCTACTGGCTCTTGAACTGCCATTAAGCTCAGTAGCTCTGGTGGTATCATGTGTTTCCTGTTTGACTTCAAACATAGTAGATATAATAATATAGAGTTATTTTCAGCAGAATCAGCTTTATTGCCAAGTAGGTTCAAGAAATTTGCTTTGGTGTGTTTGTGCTAAACAAACATGGCAGGTTTAGAAACATGAGAAAGATTCATCGGGTCTTATTTAAAAACAAGAGATGTTTCTGTGTCATATATAGTGACAACGCCCGACAGTCAGAGGGGCCTCCAACTAAATTTTCAATAGGGCCCCCGAAGGCCGAGGGCCGGCTCTGCTTCCTGTATTCTGTATTTTCCTATGATGAAGGGTTTGTTTTGTCTTTGCAGTGACTTAGTTAAAGACGAAAAGCCCAAAAGCATCGTTGCTGACTGCGGTAGCAACTTCCTTGGTTGGAACTTTGCAGTTGCGACGCAACTGTTTCCTAAAACCCTAGTTGGAACTACGGAGGTAACTAAGTTGGTAACTTACACGGTACGAACCATCGTTAAGCGACGCAGGTGTTCCCTGAAACCATAGTTCAGACGAACGTTCGCACCAACTGTTGTTAAGTTGCATAGTTGGAACTACAGCTCCTGACCTGTGGTTAGAAGCTTAGTTCACGGTGACTACGTCACAGAGAGCAGAAAATGCAGTGTTAGGAGGTGGATGTGATGTGTTTTAAGCAGGGAATGTTAGATAATCCTGCTTTGCAAACATGTTTAAGGTGAATTTTTAAAATAAATGTATTAGTAAAAGTACTTTTAAATGTGTTTGTGGGGTCATGGGTAGGGTTGCATTGATTCAGTAGGCTACTAAGTATCTCAGTGTAGACCATCTACAAACAGCAGGTGTTTTTCTCACAGATTACCCGTCTGCTCACAATAACTTAATTTAATATTAGTCACCCAGTACAAAGGTTAAAGGACAAAACGGAGAATGTAAAGACAAGACTTTTAATATTACCTACATGTATACGTTTCTGGGCCTCTGGGGAAGATGGGTGTTCTCTAGTCTTCATTACAAACATAAAAAGGGACAGCATAAAATCCATGAAAGTACTGTAATGAATAAATCCCTGAGAGTTTTCGTTGCCTTTATAACAAAGATAAATAGAGAACTCACGGGAGTCGTATCTGTCTCAATAGAGAACATGCGTAAGCTCAGACACTTAGCGCACTGAGCTGTTCTCAAAACCTAGATGTCAGATGCCAAGGGATTCATAATAGTGTTACAGTGTTGACACAAAGATACTAAACCTATTTCACTAAATGTCTTGGAATCGCTAACAGTTCTTAAATTGTTATTGCCGGTACAACTATAATATAAAAAGCCTAAATAGTAATGTCACTTAATATCGGTCACAACTGACATATTTTAGCAGAATATGACATTTTCTGAGTTTCGTGCTGTAAAAGTCAGACGAACACACCTGGAAACATGTTAGTTCGACCTACGTTGGCTCAAACTAATTAGTTCAAAGTATGACAGTTTAGGGAAACGGTCGTATTTCAGATGTTTGTTTGTGTAACGATGCATCGTACCAACATAGTTCAACGTTACCTTACGTGGTTGTTCGGGAAACGCACACCAGCTCAGCATATTCTCACCTGTTTTCTCACCTGAGGACTGAGGGCTGAAGGTGAACAGCTGCACTTTTCCAGAGTCACCATCTGTCACTTCACACGTCAAGTTAGACTTTGATTTGTTACTAAAATGAAAATCCGGGAAAGACACAGCGGCCGAGCAGACAGACTGTGATGTCTTCATGTCTTTGTTATCTTTGTCCACATCTTTACCCTCATACAGCCACTTCACTGTGTGTCTACAGAACTGTTCACGTGTCGACACAGAGCAGTTTAATGTCACCTTATCAGCGTCCTTACGTTCAGTCACTGGTGAAGATGGAGATATTGTGAGAGAAAGACAACAAGAGTAAAGTTAACTTCATCACTGTGATCATAATTATTGTAATGTTTCAGTATATTGTTCTAACAAGACAGTTTGAGCTGAAAACATTATGATGGAAATACTCACTGGTAATAACAGACAGATAAACCTGAGAGCCTGAAATTTGTTGTCCCGATATGAACTGTCTGCAGTCATAACGATCAACATCATCGACTGTGACCTTCTTTATAACCAGAGAACAGTTCTCAGTCTGTCTGATTTAGATTTGGTGTCTTTGTGACTCTGCCCAAGTTCAACCAGCTTTACTATTGATCTGCTTCCTGAACCAACAAAGATCCATATAGTATTTTCACATTGTTGCTGACCGTCTGTCACATTTTCACAAGGCAAAGTGACGTCATCTCCAACTCTGACAGTGAAGGGAAGTTTTCCAGCTGCTGCTGCAAATGATGAAAAATAAAGTGAAATGAGAAAATGTCTGTTATGTTCATAGTTAGTGACGATTATTTCTTTATCCTTAGTTTCCAAGAGTTCACTAAACTCACCACATTAGAAACAACAGATTTGGTTTTCTTAGTTAAATCAAATGTAGCTAATAAAGAATCTTTAATAATATTGATCAAGTTATTTTTTTTACAATGTGCCTTCCATTTATATATGTGATATATGTATTCTTACCTGTAAACTGAAGCACCGCTGGAAGAAATAAAGAAATCCATTTGAACTCAACCATCATGATTCTCTGAGTCTCTCCTTCTTCTGTCTCTTGTTCTCGTGCTCAGAACTGTCTGAGTTTCTAAACTAGTGCTTTAGTAGAGAGACGCAGCAGCTACTTCCTGTGGTTAGGATGATGTCACTTCCTCATAGTGACTTTTGGTCCCCAAATTCTTGATCAGCAACATGAGATGCAGCCATCAGAGTTCACACTTTGTTCATTCCCGTCTATTTGTGACAATGACGTGTTTCACCAAGCGAAAAGAAGAAGAAGAGGAAGCTGAAGGTGTGAAGATTGTTAGTTAAAATAAATGTTTGCAATGATGCAACTTGTTTTCTTCAGATAGTGTTTATTAGAAAACAGACAGGATCCATGGTGATGTTTGACAGCACACATGAACAGACAGGTGAAGAGTCAAACTCCTCTCCCACCAGAATCTGACTCCTGATGTCCATGGTGCAATATGGTGATACTGTAGCAGCTGCTGAAGAACACAGATAAGATGATATTTTACTGCTCTGAGATCTGCTGGTTCCTCATTTTATCTTTGCAGCTCTTTTTTTTTAAGATTAAGGAAACTCAGCAGAAGTTGAATCAGGAAGACATCGTTCATGCTGACTCTATTTCTCCCCCGCCCCCTCTCTTCCTTTTTTCTGCTTCCAACTCCGTCATTAGATTGAGGGCGTTGATTCTTTCAGTTAAACCAATCAGAATTTGCCACAACCTCTGTGAGCCAATCACATTGTTGTTGTCAAACTTTCAAACTGTCTTTTGTCTCCTGGAGGACCCCGACCAGATAAAAGACTGCAGCATCACTCCAGCTCCAGGCCTCCCTCCCTCTCTCGCTCCAGCAGCTGGTGGATCAAGCAGTCTTCAGTGATCCCACTGAGCCCTTCACATCCATTCTGGTTCTGGCCTCTGTGGTCACAGCCCCTCCACCAGGTAGGCCATACATCCCTCTCACATTTCTTAAACTCTCCTGTTCCTTTTCCTTTTAATTCCTCTTTAAGCCTCTTTTTCATTTAAGTCTCTCCTGACTGAGCTGAATAGGAAGTGTTTTGGTGAGAATGTGGACATGAGACAAACAGGCGTTTATCAAATTCTGATGAAAACTACTTTAACCCCTGGATGTCCTGGTTTTGGTTGTGAGTTTGGTGATTTCCTGTTTTCTTTTGTTAAATCCTTCCTCGTGGGTCTTTGTCAGTTCACTTCCTGTCCTTGAGTTGATTTTTGTTTCCACCTGTGTCTCGTTTCCTCCACCTCTCTTGGGTATTTAAGTGTGTGTATTCCTTTTTGTCTAGTGTTGGCTCGCCTGTGTAAGCACGCCATTTGTTTTCACTCTGGAATTTGGGAGTTTTACCTGGCTAGGTAACTGAAAAATGTTCAAATCCAGGTTTGTTGTTTCACATGTATGACTACTACTTTATTGAACGCAGATTACATTTCATTCACAGTTAACATGAGCTAGAGGAAATGAGATGTTTGCTTAGAAAAGAGTACGTTGAAAGTTAAAACTTGAAATGATAAGAATTATGAATTAGAGATGATAATGCAGACTGTATTTTATGATAGTGTCTTTGGTTCTGGTTCAGCATTGTGTGGGTCTGACCACGCCACGAGCGGTGCGAAGAGGGCGCTGCCGGCAACGAGAAGGCCTTTGCGTGAGTTGAACATTTTCAACTCGAGCGAGAAAGTCGCTTGACGCTAAGTCGCTGTAGCCTATCAGCGTTGAGATCATCCTGACATCACCGATGGCTTCAGAGCGTTGTGTGGAGAGGGCCGGGCAGAGCGGGGGATTGAAATGCCGCTGGCCGGCGGAGAGCTGCTACACTTGGAGAAGTTGAGGACAGAGCAGAGAGCAGCGCTGCAGCTTTTGGACAAATAAACACTCGCGGTCGGTTTGGATTACACTCTGACAACTACACTGTTTACTCGTGGGAGGAGCTCGGAGTAAACTGCTTTTATTAAATTAGCTTTTCACTTTAGTTTTGCGGATGACAACATTGATTTATCTTCACTGGAGCTTCTCAGCAGCTAGCTTCCATGCACATCTGGTTTCACTGTTGTTGTTAGAAGGGGTGATGGAGCAGTGGCTAAGACACTTGACTTTCGTTCAATCCCCCACTGTGACCCATCCACCATTGTGTCCCTGAGCAAGACACTTCTCGTTGCTCCAGAGGCGTGCGACCTCTGACATATACAGCAATTGTAAGTCGCTTTGGATAAAAGCTAAAATAAATGAATAAATGTAAATGTTGTTAGCGTCGGTTGGCACCCAGAGCTCTGTTGGACTAATACTTCATATTTATAT